CAAATAACTAAGAATGTATATCTTTGATACCATGAAAATCAAAAAATGATGGAATGGATTTTACTGGAGTGATCTATCTATTATTGATGCTTAAATGCATCGACGGGTACAAAAAGGAATCTCTATCAGTTAGATATATGTATGGAATTGACAATCGTTCATAATGATAAGGTATGTATACATGAGATACATATTGTTGACAAATATATTGGGATATACACATGAGATATCGTTGACTAATATGTTGTTAATGTACTCAGTTATGATATAAGATAGAAGTATCTGATATATGTTTAGATAATGGTAAAGAAAGTATACACTTTTGAAGAATATATATATATATATATATTCCAATGTTTTGAAAGGCTTCTCAGTGCTACTTCTTATAAGTTTAGTCAAAATTCAAACTTATGAGTTTTGCTAAACTCTAAGTATTAAAATACTCAATCCTGTATAGCATTCCATTGACAAGGGTTATTGATTCATTCAAATTACATGAAAAAAAAACGAATAAAGGATGTTTTAAAAGTATACTAGTTGAAATTGAAAGCCTAAAATCATAGAATTTCAGGCCAATGACGGGGCAATTTTGTCTAAGTGTGACTAGAGCCGAAAAAAAAAGGATCAAACATGTTAACTCAAAATTAATGGGTTCGGTTAAAGATTCCACCTCTTTAAGCAATTTAAATGAATAAGTTGGGTTACGGTTGAAATTTTCAACCCGCCAACCCGTTTAAATAAAGTGATTATTTATAGTTTATATTTATTTAATATGAACGTCTAATCATTTTATATTTAAAAATATAAAATAAAATAAACCTTACAAAAAAAATCAATTGCTCAGTTTGTTGATTCACAAAATCGCACCCTAGCTAAGACCTTCAATCCCTTGTGAGTCACTACCTTAGCACGATGATAATGTTAGCAATTATTGAGTGAACAATTTGAATATTTTGGATTGTTGGAGAACTTGTGAGATTTGATATTCTAACTTCAGCTCGAATGTGTAAGGATATCAAGTAGTCATATCTCAACACATGTTTGGATATGCCTTCATGTCACACCCCAACCGACGGCGGAAATCGTCGGGGTTGCGACGTTATACAATTGGATCACAGTCAACCACATATATCGAATACATAATATATTTGAATCAATATTTTACAAACCTTTAAGTTTCAGAATTGAAATTACATCTTCATATTAAACAC